CAGTGGGGCCAGGATACATAAGAGACGCCAACGTTGGATCAGGCTAATGGCCTATCCAGTCCAACACTCTGTATCATAGAGTGGCCAAAAATACCAGGTGCCACCAGGAGGTCCAGCAGTGGGGGCAGGACACCAGAACCCCTCCCACTGTTGCCTCCCCCCCCCGCATTGCATGCCACTTTCAGTTCCTTTGATCATTGGATTTTATGGTACCCTCCAAGTGGGGGCTCAGAGGTTAAGACAGGTCGGTAGTTGGGTAGTTCGAGACCTGAGTGCCGTGTGACAGAGTGAGCTCCCGTCTCTGGCCTCGGCTCCTGCCAACCTAGTAGTTTGAAAACACGAAATTGCAAGTAGATAAATAGGTACCACTTCGGTGGGAAAGCAACAGCATTCCATGCGCCTTGGTGTCTAGTCATGCCAGCCACATGACCATGGAGACATCTTCGGACAGCGCTGGCTCTTCGGCTTGGAAACAGAGATGAGCACCGCCCCCCTAGAGTCGGATTCGACTAGCTTTCGAGCCAGGGAAACCTTTTACCTGCATAGATTTATGGCCGTTTTATGGCCGTTCAGGGGTGACTCTGCAGTCAGTACGGGATTGGCCCCGGAGGGTATTTGAATGTGGTTGTGAGCTGCACTTTCCCCTCCCAGTCGAGAAAATGTGGAGCAAATGCTAGATGCGGAATCGCCTAGAAAGGCCCAAATGCTTGCTGCTTCCTGCAGGAAATGTCTTGATGGGCATCAGAAGCCGAGGCAGCTGTGTGTTCCCGAATAGAGCCGTTAACCTGCACTGAACTTTGGTAGATAGTATTGGGTGTTGTAAATAAGAAGCGGGAGACAGACCAGTTATAAAGGTGCACAGAGAGTTTATATAGTTATAAAGGTGAATATATACAGAGATATTTACAGGCTATAGAACCGCATGTCGTGCCTTAGTCTATGAGAACTACGTCCTCTCCGTCTTACTAAGCTGATAGCTATTATGCTAAACTCCAGCCAATCTCTAACAGGGTGATGCAATCACTAACTCTAACAAGCTCTGAAAGAGTAACACCTGCTAGAAAACACCTGGCTGTAATTACATGATTACCAGCATGACAGCTAGGTTTGTCAAACAGATCAAACTGTTCTATAGTAACTGCTTGCTACCTCTATCACTCTGACATATATCTCAATAGATAGTTCAGTGTTCCCAGGCAGGATTCCCTCCTCTTGCCTTGTCTCCTGGCCGTCAGCCTCCACGGGGAGTGGGTAACGCCTTCCCCCTCTCTTTGTCCAGAGTGGTCATTCGCTCTTCTTGCAGAAGACCTTGGAGGATACCTTTCCAGAACGGGTCCAGCTCTCTTCTCCTGCTGCTCTTGGGCGAGACTGTGGGGGGCGCTGGAGGCGGAAGCGACCAGTCCCCTTCTACCTCTGGCTTTTGGATGAGGGTCAGCTGTTCTTCCCTGGGAGATTCCGGGATGGGAGGAGCCTTTGGTATCACAGAGACCAAGAGGAAGTCCCACCTCCTAGGATCGCCAGTCTCCAGGTGGGGCCTGGAGATCTCCAGACTTCAAAGATCAGTTCCCCTGCAGGAAATGGCTGCTTTGGAGGGGGGACTCTTTGGCATTGTACCCTGTTAGCCAAATTGCCTTGATTTATTAATAAACGTGGGCAGGGCTTTTTTTGTAGAAAAAGCCCAGCAGGAACTCATTAGCACAATAGGCCACACCCAACAACAGAAACTAATTAGCATATCAGGCCACACCCCCTGATAGCACAGCTCATTAGCATATTGGGCCACACCCCCGTGCCTTCCCTTGGCTTGCCCGGGCACCCCACGGCTGCGGGGCGCCTGGGGAAGCCGGCCCTTGGATAGGCTGGGGAAGGCACGGGGAGCATTTAAATGCCACCCCGATCCTTCCAGGGGGGCCCCGGCCCGCCCGCCGCAGAGTTGCTGTGGGGGGTCGCTCTCCAGGCCTTCCCTCTGTAGCCATGCATGTGCAGAGGTTTTGGCTGTAGTGGGCATGGCCAACTCTGAAGCCAGCCAGAAGTCCGTTCCTGTGCGTTCCTGCCCCAAAATAGCCCTGAATGTGGGGAATATGAATATTAAACAGCAATAAGCATTAAATATAGGATCAGACCTGTGTTTACGGGAGTCCAACTTTAGCCAGATTCCAGAATTAGACTCTGAGATTGGATCTTAAGAAGCAGTGATTTCTTTTACTGAATGGATTCTCAAACACACAATATTAAATCAAACACACACACACACAATACAGATCTAGGAATTCAGATAGGAAGGTACATAGACGTTTGCATTAGCAGAAATGCTCCCTCTAAGCTGTGGAGTCTTGTGAGCGAAAATCCTACTTTGTGAGCTAATGGCATTAAAGTTGTGAGCGAGCGATTTGGCTACTGCATAAACTGGTTTGCTCTGGAGCCCTCCTTTCCGAGCAAAGATGAAAATGTGTGAGCCGGAGGCTAAAAAACTGTGAGCTAGCTCACTCTAACTCAGCTTAGAGGGAACACTAATTAGCAGGTAATATCACTGATAGGCAACACTTTACCTAGGGTTGCCAAATGAAAAAATCCTACCGGCGGGGGAGCGTCCTGCTGCTCCGGGAGCTGGTCGAGATTGTGTGTGTGCGCGCGCGCCGCCAGAGCGTCACCGGAAGTGACGTCAAATGGCGTGGCCCCGCCCCCAGCGTGCGACATCACTTCCGGTGATGCGCACGCTGGGGTGGGGTTCCCCCCGGGCCCCGATTCCCTGGCGTCTGGGAACGGAGCCTCCGGGGCGGGGGATTTCCGCCCTACCGGGGGAGTTGGCAGCCCTAACTTTACCTGTTCAAGGTGGTGGGCAACAACCCCGCTGGTACCTCTCTCCCCCCCAAACCCCGACCTCTCTAGAGTTCACCCCCAAATTTCCAGGGATTTCCCAACTCGGAGCTGGGAACCCTAACCCCCCTCAAGAAGATAAACACTAGAAGATAAAAATTTTGGTGTTCAGCAGTAACTCTTGCTTTCCTTTAATTGCAATAGTTACATAATAAAATTATACATTATAAGTGTAAAGAAATTGCAGAAAACGAAGAAATCTAAGAAGAAAAGACTAAAACTAAAGCATGAGTGCTAAGGGCAGTAATTGTGCAAAGCTAATAATTTTATATTTGTAGACTCAAACTAATCTCTGTATAACCTGTATTAATAGGTTAAAAAAAAACTATTCTTTTAGCTTTTCAGATCGTGATTTGTATTAGTCTTTACCCTATCCCCATATCCAGTAGGAGATTTAGAACAGAGTGGTAGTTTTCCTTCCCCTATCCAGTAGACTTTATGTATCTAGATCTCCCTGACCCATTTCCCATAGTAATAGTGATAGGGCAATAGTATTCCTTTCCAAATCCCATATTTGTAGTGTGCAGTGTGTAGAAAATGCAAAATAAAAAAAATTCCCCTTCGGGCCCCCCCCCAAAAAAAAAGTGTAAAGAAATAAATTGGCAAGTAATAATTAATAGCAATTGAAAAAAAATAATTTGGGGTTAAGGGAGGTAAGAAAAACAAAAGATGTATGAATTGTATAATGATATATTTTCGGAACGTAGAATTAAGTTTGTGGGACCATTCCCAAGTGGATTATAAAGATAGGACAATAGATATATTAGAAATCAATCCAATTTGGGCATATCATAGGTTATCTTTGATAAATTAGCTTAAATGTTATTCCTTCCTTTGTTATGATGTTTTGTACAAACTTGTATTATGGGAATTAAAAGCAAAATAAAATATATTTTTTTTAAAAAGAAGTCTTTCTCCAGCTTTGAGGATGGGACAGGGCAGGGCCTAACACACCGTGAGGGGAACGCGATCCTGGGTGTTCAAGGATAACCGTGTGACGGGGGATGTGGTTAGAGGCAGGTGCTTGCAAAAACCTGGCAAGAAAAATATGGAGGGAAAGGCGCAAGTTCCCTAAATCCCTTTGGCTACAGATCAGGGCTTTTTTTGTAGAAAAAGCCCAGCAGGAACTCATTAGCATAATAGGCCATACCCAACAGCAGGAACTCATTAGCATATTAGGCCACACCCCTGACAGCACAGCTCATTCACATATTAGGCCACACCCCCATGTTACCAGAAGTGTGGCCATCCAGCCACTTATTCTTTTTACCTTGTTTGTTGACAAAACCCAGAGCTTTTTTTTTTTGAGCAGGAACTCCTTTGCATGTTAGGCCACACACCTCTAATTGTAGCCAATCCTAATGAGTTTCTGCTGTCGGGTGTGGCCTATTATGCTAATGAGTTCCTGCTGGGCGTAGCCAACTCGGGAGCCAGATGGAACTCCGTTCCCGTGCGTTCCTGCCCAAAAATAGCCCTGGTACAGTGACGTTTCAGCAGCCCAACAATATGTCAGCGGCAGCCAGTCTGTAGGCAGGTCTGTAACAGCCATTCAGTTTCGCAAATAACGAGGACGAATATTATAATTAATACGTTCTGAGGGCATGCAGCGAAGCTGATGGGCAGTAGGTTCAGGAGGGACAAAAGGAAACACTTCTTTACACAGCAAGTGACTCAAAATGTGGAATTCGCAGCCTGATGCTGCAGTGATGGCCACCGGCATAGGCAGCTTTCAAAGTGGATTAGACAGGTTCATGGAGGAGAGGGCTGTCGGTTGCTACTGGCCACAGTGACTAAAGGGGAACCTCCATGTTGAGGGGCAGTCAACCTCTGAATCCCAGGGCCCAGGAGGCAACATCAGGGGAAGGCCTCGGCCTCTGTGCCCTTTTGTGGGCCCTCCAGAGGAACCAGTTGCTCCCACGCATACTAAAACTGGAGTGAGAGAGGATTAGCAATGGCCACTATGTGAGACAGGATGCTGGACTCAATGGGCCACTGGCCCGATCCAGCAGGGCTCTTCTTGATGTTCTTGTGTTCTGACGTGGCTTCAGTTGCTAGAAAAGCAGCCGTTCCGTTGACTACTTTTGCCGAATGTGAATCTTGCATAAGTTCCCTTTTCTTCCCAGCCGAAATAAAGATCTGCTTCAAATACTACCATGGAATAAGCGGTGCCCTGCGAGCAACAACTCCGTGCATCACTGTGAAGAACCCTGCTGTGATGGTAAGCGTGTTTATTAACGGCTGTCGCCAGGCCAAACTGTTTTACGTTAGTGTTCTAAAGTTGGCTGTTAGCCGGTGTTTCCCCATCAGCTGTCTCAACCAGATGAACTTGACAAGTGACAAAGTGATCAGTGAAATCTTGCCTCCATTGCTCTTTTTTTTAAAGTAGTTCATTGCTGAGAACAAAGACTCTGAGGTTGTGTGACACTTGTTTTAATTGTGTATATCCAATGGGTTGGCCTGTTTGGATTCCCAGAGAAGCCGTCCTTCCTTCTAATTCTGGTTTAACAAAGGCCACCTCGTGATCATTTAGTTGGGTTGCCACTATACTTAACCTTTCGGCGGAGCACCTTACTTATTTTTCTGATCCCTCAGACTTAAAGTAGGTAGGGTTGCCAGGTCCCTACCTTCTGCCAGCAGGGGTGACGGTCGGAGGCTCCTTCCTGGGATATCTATGGTACTCTGTGGTACCATAGAGTTTTTGGCCGAATTCTAGAGCATCCCCCCGGCGAGATGCCCGGTGAGATGACGTCCACTCCAGGTGGCGTCATCGCGCCAGGCCTGCTGGATGCTGGGTAGCTCTTTGGGGGTGGGGCTCCCCCACTGACAACTGGCCGGCGAGTGGCTCAGGGGGGGCAGAAATTGGGGGAACCCCCCCCCCCGTCTGGGGGATGACAGCCCTAAAAGTAGGCAGTAGCAAAATTTATTTGAAGGTCAAAGAAGACGGGGACAGCAAAGGATGAGATGGTTAGACAGTATCATAGATGCAACTAATATGAAATTGAGCAAACTTCAGAGGACGGCGGAACACAGGAAGGCCTGACGTGATCTGGTCCATGGGGTCGCGACTGTGCGACTGAACAACAAAAACGGAGTTATTTCACAGAATCATAGAATCACAGAGTTGGAAAGGGCCCTACAGGCCATCTAGTCTAAACCCTGCTCAATGCAGGATTTCCTATTCTAACTAAAAATGTAACCCATCCGAGGAACATATGAAATAGTCTTATACTGAGTAAGGCCATCAATTTATCCAGTTCAGTATTTATTCTGACAGGCAGCAATTCTCCAAGGTCTCAGACAATATCTGCCACCCATGGTCCTTTTCCCCACTTTTGCTGGGGATTGAACTTGAGACCTTCTGCATGCCAAGCAGATGCTCTACCACCGAGCCACAGCTTCTCCAAGCAAAATACCATGCTCTTGGGTCTCAGTAACATGTCATGGCCTGCTTGTAACCCACTCTGTCTAGCAATCACTGGTATTGGATGCTAAGGTCCATGACCATTGGTATCTCCCAATTCGGCAGTCCTAATATCCCAGTCCATCCAAAATTTTGCTAGTAAAACCGAACTAGAGAGGTAAGGGTGGAACTTCATTAATGTGGAACTTCATTACCCAGGCCTACTTCACTTTAAGAACCTGATTCATCAGAAACAGAGCAAAGTTCAATGAGTTTTTAGTACACTTTGCAGGTGAAATTTCTGTTGGAAGTACTGTGTGTGTGTGTGTGTGTAATAGGCAGTCTGGTGTAGTGGTTAGGAGCATGGACGCTAATCTGGGAGAACTAGGATTGATTCCCCACGCCTCCACTTGCACCTGGCTGGATGACCTTGGGCAAGCCATAGCCCTGGCACAGCTATCTGCTCAAGGACAATTCTGGAAAGAGCTCTCCCAGCCCCGCCTACCTCACAGGGTGTCTGTTGTGGGGAGGAGAAGGGAAAGGAGTTTGTAAGCCACTCTGAGACTCCTTCGGGTAGTGAAGGGCAGGGTATAAATCCAGTCTCTTCTTCTTCTTCTTT